TGATTTGATTCATTCCGTTGTTGAAAAACAGGGATTCTCAATATTGTCAAAATGGCTATAGTACCCAAAGCAATCTACAGATTCAATGCAATCCCTATCAAGCTACCAACGGCAGCTTTCAGAGAACTAGAGCAAATAATTTCACAATTTGTATGGAAATGCAAAACACCTGGAATAGCCAAAGGAATCTTGAGAAAGAAGAATGGAACTGGAGGAATCAACCTGCCTGACTTCACACTATACCACAAAGCCACAGTCATCAAGACAGTATGGTACTGGCACAAAGACAGAAATATAGATTAATGGAACAGAACAGAAAGCCCAGAGATAAATCCACGAACCTATGGTCACCTTATCTTCGACAAAGGAGGCAAGGATATACAGTGGAAAAAAAGACAACCTCTTTAACAAGCGGTGCTGGGAAAACTGGTCAGCCACCTGGAAAAGAATGAAACGAGAACACTTTCTAACACCATACACAGAAATAAACTCAAAATGGATTAAAGATCTAAATGTTAAGACCAGAAACCATAAAACTCCTAGAGGAGAACACAGGCAAAACACTCTCCGACATACATCACAGCAGGATCCCAGAGTATTAGAAACAAAAGCGAAAATTAACAAACGGGACCTAATGAAACTTAAAAGCTTTTGCACGACAAAGAAACTATAAGCGAGGTGAAAGGACAGCCCTCAGATTGGGAGAAAATAACAGCAAACGAAGCAACACACAAAGGATTAATCTCAAACATATACAAGCAACTCCTCCAGCTCAACTCCAGAAAATAAATGACCCAATCAAAAAATGGGCCAAAGAGCTAACCAGACATTTCTCCAAGAAGACATACAGATGGCTAAAAGACACATGAAAAGATGCTCAACATCACTCATTATCCGAGAAATGCAAATCAAAACCACAATGAGGTACCATTACACGCCAGTCAGGATGGCTGCTATCCAAATGGTCTACAAGCAATAAATGCTGGAGAGGGTGTAGAGAAAAGGGAACCCTCTTACCCTGTTGGTGGGAATGCAAACTAGTACAGCCACTATGGAAAACAGTGTGGAGATTTCTTAAAAAACTGGAAAAAGAACTGCCCTAAGATCCAGCAATCCCACTTCTGGGCATACACGCCGAGGAAACCAGATCTGAAAGAGACACGTGCACCCCAATGTTCATCGCAGCACCGTTTATAATAGGCAGGACATGGAAGTAACCTAGATGCCCGTCAGCAGACGAATGGATAAGGCAGCTGTGGTACATATACACCATGGAATCTTACTCAGCCATTAAAAAGAATTCATTTGAATCAGTTCTAAAGAGATGGATGAAACTGGAGCCCGTTATACAGGCTGAAGTAAGCCAGGAAGATAAAGACCATTAGAGGATACTAACACATATACACGGAATTGAGAAAGATGGTAACGATAACCCTATTTGCAAAACAGAAAAAGGCACACAGATGTATAGAACAGACTTTTGGACTCTGTGGGAGAAGGCGCGGGTGGGATGTTTCAAGAGAACAGCATCGAAACATGTATATATAATCTAGGGTGAAAGAGATCACCAGCCCAGGTTGGATGCAGGAGACAAGTGCTCGGACCTGGTGCACTGGGAAGAGCCAAAGGGATCGGGTCGAGACGGAGGTGGGAGGGGGGATCGGGATGGGAAATACATGTAAATCCATGGCTAATTCATGTCAATGTATGACAAAAAAATTTGTAAAGTCATTAGCCTCCAACTAATAAAAATAAATGAAAAAAAAAACAACAGGGATTCATTGAGCTGCATCGGAGATGAATTCTGTCATTAGAAACTTTGCCACCAGGCTTAAGAAATATATTTAGAACTCATTTCTTTCCGGAAACAGGTTTCAAGATCTCCATAAGAAGTCTTTTATTAAGATAAATCACAGCTTTGTCAGTTTCTCCAGAAGTACCCTCTTTTTAATTCCCAAGGAGAATGGCAATAATAAAACTAAATTAACCGAGTAGGTTATTTTCTCTCTAATGGCCCCTGTCTTGATTAAGAGGATTCCGGTCGACGTATTTCCTGGGCTTCCCTGGTGGCTCAGGTGGTAAAGAATCTGTCTGCAATGCAGGAGACCTGGGTTTCATGCCTGGGTTGAGAAGATCGCCTGGAGAAGGGAATGGCCACCTCTTCCAGTATTCTTGCCTAGAGAATTCCACGGACAGAGGAACTGGGAAGGCCACAGTCCATGGAGTCACAAAGAGTCGGACACCGCTGAGCAACTAATACACATATTTTCTTACCATTTGCTTAGCAGAAGCAATCATTCATAGCATTTTATAGCACTTTCTAAAGAACATTTTGTGCCTTTTTTCTCTTTTGTAAGCTGCACCAGGTCTTGGTTGCCACACATGGGATCTTTCATTGTGGCGTGCAAACTCTTCCTTGCAGTGAATGGGATCTAGTTCACTGACCAGAGATTGAACCCAGGCCCCTGCACTGGATCGCCAGGGAAGCCCTCTAAAGAACTCTTAAAGTGAAACTTTTTGGATGTTCGCAGCAGCCTTGGGCAGTCCTAGTGATGATACTTGTTCTGCACTCTTGAGCCCGTGACCTCCCTGAGGGACACAGGGGCCAAGCGAGCAGATGCTACCCCAGCGCCAGACCACAGGCCCAGACTGGCAGTGTAAACTCCCTTCCAGTGATGTCCTCTTTTTACTGTTCCTCTGGTCAATTCAGTACTGTTTTCCTTGGAGCATGTGTTTAAAAGGAAATCCTAGATGTGTTCAAACATTACTGCCCACTTTCAGATGGATTGATATCTACCTAGGACTTGGCTATTAAACCCACCTGCCTGAGTACTGTGACTTGATTGGAGTTTTCTTGAAGTCACTCCTGAAGCACTGTGATGGCTTTGTCTAACATTAATAGATTTTTAAAAATGATATGTGTTGGGGAATGGCTATGAATAAAGGGGAGAATCTGTTGCTACTGCAAACCAATTAAGGAGGCAACTTAAAAAGGAAATCTGAATTGTAACTGTGTTTCTATTCCTATAAAATACTGTCCTTACCTTGCAGTCTGTAGTTGATGTGCCCAGACACAGTAGTGGCTCTCGGGTTGCTCTTCTGTCATCTTCCTGTCTCCTTCAGTCCCTGCATGCGTATAGGAACTTCAGTGAGATAATGGGGCATTTAACAGAGATTGTTCTGTGCAATACTGTATTTAGTGTTTCTATTTTAAAGTTTCTAGGATGTTAATTTACATGCAAATAAAATACATAATAAGAGAGTTCTCTGCCTATTGTGTCTATATGACCTAAAAGTAAATGCAAAATATTTATCCCAGAGGGAAAATAAGTTAGAGCGTCTGTGTTCAAAGATTTTCGAAAGTTCTTATCTCAGGCCGAACCGTTGCTGGTGAACAGTGAAAGTCGCTCTGTCATGTCTGACTCTGCAAACGCATGGACTGTACAGTCCATGGAATTCCCCAGGCCAGAATACTAGAGTGGGTAGCCGTTTCCCTTCTCCAGGGGGTCTTTGCAACCCAGGGATCGAACCCAGGTCTCCTGCACTGCAGGTGGATTCCTCACCAGCTGAGCCACCAGGGAAGCCTGAACAGTTCTTGGCAGTTAAGGATTTAACAAATGCTAGAGTGTAAAGACAAAATAATAATTCTGCTACAGTAAAACACACTTTCTTAAGTGCAAATCTTCTCAATGCAGTTTTAGGGAAGAAGTATTTCCCCCTTATGGAAATATCAGTATGTTAATACCTAAGAAGTCCTTTTACGAAAAGTTGCAAAAATTCATATGATGTAGATTAAATGGTGATAAAAATTGAGTTGATCTCAGTGAGGCAGCAGTGAGTGGTGGCGTGAAGTGAGATCTAATTCGCTGCCCAGGAACTGAACCTGGGTAGCCTGAACGAAAACCAGGAATCCTAGCCACCAGACCAGCAAGGGCTAGAGGCTAGAAGCCAAGTTTCCCTGGATCTTTGACCAGTGAAAAATGCATTCATCATGGAGGCAGAATCGCTACATGCAGGTACAACGTTTATTATCAGAGACACAGCACAGCAACACGTGGGAAAGAACACGGAGGAACAGCTGGTCTAGTTCCGACAGAAGCAAAGCAGAGACACACACCTGGAGAGAAAGGTTATGGGCGCCCCCTGGTGACAAGGAGCACAATAACCACGAGGTGGTGAAGTCCTTTATATAGGCCAGTTCTTCTGGGTCTTTGTCTTCCTTCCTGCCAAGTTTCTGGTTCCTTTCTTCACATCTGACCTATCCTGGGCCTCTGCCCTGGTGTGCACATACCCCTCAGCCAAGATGGATCTCCAAGTGGAGGCTTCTGGAAGAAGCGAGGCTCATCATGATCTGGCATTTTCGCGGGACTTTTCACCCACAAGGAGCCTCTCTGCGCGTGTGTAGTGTTTCCCTTCTCCCACAAGGGGGGTGGGGGGAGGGGAGATCTCTTCATCCTTGACTCAAGCAGGGTTTTGTCCCTCTTTGCCCTTGTCATGGCTACTAAAGTGTTCATAAGAGACAGACACTGGCTATTTACCCTCTTTCTGTTGTTACTTCCATTTCACAGGGCAAGCAGGACACTGACTGTAAAGGCTCAACTGGAGCCCAACCATCTCTTGCCTCAAGAAATGTAAACAGGCTAGATGTAAATGCCTAACCTGGAGTCCATCTGTCTCCTCCAGCAACATTATGGGAAGACAAAAGGCGGAAAATTATGCCAATAAGGCACCACATGATGGTGCAAAAAGATGGATATAGACAAGGAAAGAAGGAATAAAAACTAAGCATTATGCTAATGGCAACCATTATGCAAGTTAATGGGGGGTGGGGGGGAACCTAATGGAAAACACTTGCTTTTATGCCATAAACCATCTTTGAGTTCAGGTTGAATTGGATTTTTCACGATAAACTTTTCATCACCTCTGCATTGGCTTGTCGTCTACTTTGTGCAAAAGCCTGGAGCTCCTAACTACTAGGGGGTCTCCCATCCAAGTACTAACTAACCCTGCTTAGTTTCCCCGATCAGAAGACATCTGGCCCGTTCAGGGTGGTATGATCTTAGAAGGAGGCGGTTGCCGCCAGGCACCTTTAAAAACCCTGCGCTGCGCCTCCTTTTCGCTCTGATGTGCCTTGTCGAGCCAGCCGGCCGCACCTTTCCACGGGGCGCGCCGGCCAGGGCCGGCAGCCCGGCCGAAGCCTCCCCGTCCCCGCACACCAGTAACCCTGGCCAGCAAACCTGGCCCGGCCCGGGGGCCCGGAGTGTTTCCGGGACCCCGAGCGGCCGGTCGGGCGTGCATGCCTGGGCTTGGGGTTGGGGTGAGGGGCGCGGAGGTCTCGGCGCCCTCCCGCCCTGGGCCTCTCTAGGCCCGCCCCCTGTCGGCGCCCCCCCTGCCCACTCCAGTTCGTGGCTCAGGGCCACGTGGCCCCGGAGGTATCTGATTCGGGCCCGCCGCGGACCGCGGCACTCGGTCCTCTGAGCCTCCCTCGGGCATAGGCGGAGCGCAGCCGGGGCCCTGAGCACCCACTCTGCCCGGCACCTGCCTGGGGCCCAAACCCAATGGGAGCCACCAGCGCGGTCCACCCGAGTGCCTCAGCCCCGCCCCTTCGCCCTACCTCTGCCCCCCTCCTCGCACCGCCGCTCGCCAAGCACAGCACCTTCCTGAGGTCCTTAAAATTCTTCCTTCAAGAGTTCTAAGTAAATTTAAGACAGCATCTACTGGATTTTCACCAACGGCTAAAAAAACAAACAAACCAACAGTTACCTTGATCCATCTTGCCTTAATGTGAGCTGTAACAGTAACCTCAGAGCTGCTGCACTCAATGATTTGATTCATTCCGTTGTTGAAAAACAGGGATTCTCAATATTGTCAAAATGGCTATAGTACCCAAAGCAATCTACAGATTCAATGCAATCCCTATCAAGCTACCAACGGCAGCTTTCAGAGAACTAGAGCAAATAATTTCACAATTTGTATGGAAATGCAAAACACCTCGAATAGCCAAAGGAATCTTGAGAAAGAAGAATGGAACTGGAGGAATCAACCTGCCTGACTTCACACTATACCACAAAGCCACAGTCATCAAGACAGTATGGTACTGGCACAAAGACAGAAATATAGATTAATGGAACAGAACAGAAAGCCCAGAGATAAATCCACGAACCTATGGTCACCTTATCTTCGACAAACGAGGCAAGGATATACAGTGGAAAAAAAGACAACCTCTTTAACAAGCGGTGCTGGGAAAACTGGTCAGCCACCTGGAAAAGAATGAAACGAGAACACTTTCTAACACCATACACAGAAATAAACTCAAAATGGATTAAAGATCTAAATGTTAAGACCAGAAACCATAAAACTCCTAGAGGAGAACACAGGCAAAACACTCTCCGACATACATCACAGCAGGATCCCAGAGTATTAGAAACAAAAGCGAAAATTAACAAACGGGACCTAATGAAACTTAAAAGCTTTTGCACGACAAAGAAACTATAAGCGAGGTGAAAGGACAGCCCTCAGATTGGGAGAAAATAACAACAAATGAAGCAACACACAAAGGATTAATCTCAAACATATACAAGCAACTCCTCCAGCTCAACTCCAGAAAATAAATGACCCAATCAAAAAATGGGCCAAAGAGCTAACCAGACATTTCTCCAAGAAGACATACAGATGGCTAAAAGACACATGAAAAGATGCTCAACATCACTCATTATCCGAGAAATGCAAATCAAAACCACAATGAGGTACCATTACACGCCAGGCAGGATGGCTGCTATCCAAAAAGTCTACAAGCAATAAATGCTGGAGAGGGTGTGGAGAAAAGGGAACCCTCTTACCCTGTCGGTGGGAATGCAAACTAGTACAGCCGCTATGGAAAACAGTGTGGAGATTTCTTAAAAAACTGGAAACAGAACTGCCCTATGATCCAGCAATCCCACTTCTGGGCATACACGCCGAGGAAACCAGATCTGAAAGAGACACGTGCACCCCAATGTTCATCGCAGCACCGTTTATAATAGGCAGGACATGGAAGTAACCTAGATGCCCGTCAGCAGACGAATGGATAAGGCAGCTGTGGTACATATACACCATGGAATCTTACTCAGCCATTAAAAAGAATTCATTTGAATCAGTTCTAAAGAGATGGATGAAACTGGAGCCCGTTATACAGACTGAAGTAAGCCAGAAAGATAAAGACCATTACAGGATACTAACACATATACATGGAATTGAGCAAGATGGTAACCATAACCCTATATGCAAAACAGAAAAAGACACAGATGTATAGAACAGACTTTTGGACTCTGTGGGAGAAGGCGCGGGTGGGATGTTTCAAGAGAACAGCGTCGAAACACGTATATATAACCTAGGGTGAAAGAGATCACCAGCCCAGGTTGGATGCAGGAGACAAGTGCTCGGACCTGGTGCACTGGGAAGAGCCAAAGGGATCGGGTCGAGACGGAGGTGGGAGGGGGGATCGGGATGGGGAATACATGTAAATCCATGGCTAATTCATGTCAATGTATGACAAAAAAATTTGTAAAGTCATTAGCCTCCAACTAATAAAAAAAAAAAAAAACCAGGGATTCATTGAGCTGCATGGGAGATGAATTCTGTCATTAGAAACTTTGCCACCAGGCTTAAGAAATATATTTAGAACTCATTTCTTTCAGGAAACAGGTTTCAAGATCTCCATAAGAAGTCTTTTATTAAGATAAATCACAGCTTTGTCAGTTTCTCCAGAAGTACCCTCTTTTTAATTCCCAAGGAGAATGGCAATAATAAAACTAAATTAACCGAGTAGGTTATTTTCTCTCTAATGGCCCCTGTCTTGATTAAGAGGATTCCGGTCGACGTATTTCCTGGGCTTCCCTGGTGGCTCAGGTGGTAAAGAATCTGTCTGCAATGCAGGAGACCTGGGTTTCATGCCTGGGTTGAGAAGATCGCCTGGAGAAGGGAATGGCCACCTCTTCCAGTATTCTTGCCTAGAGAATTCCACGGACAGAGGAACTGGGAAGGCCACAGTCCATGGAGTCACAAAGAGTCGGACACAGCTGAGCAACTAATACACATATTTTCTTACCATTTGCTTAGCAGAAGCAATCATTCATAGCATTTTATAGCACTTTCTAAAGAACATTTTGTGCCTTTTTTCTCTTTTGTAAGCTGCACCAGGTCTTGGTTGCCACACATGGGATCTTTCATTGTGGCGTGCAAACTCTTCCTTGCAGTGAATGGGATCTAGTTCACTGGCCAGAGATTGAACCCAGGCCCCTGCATTGGGAGCAGCCACTGGATCGCCAGGGAAGCCCTCTAAAGAACTCTTAAAGTGAAACTTTTTGGATGTTCGCAGCAGCTCTGGGCAGTCCTAGTGATGATACTTGTTCTGCACTCTTGAGCCCGTGACCTCCCTGAGGGACACAGGGGCCAAGCGAGCAGATGCTACCCCAGCGCCAGACCACAGGCCCAGACTGGCAGTGTAAACTCCCTTCCAGTGATGTCCTCTTTTTACTGTTCCTCTGGTCAATTCAGTACTGTTTCCTTGGAGCTTGTGTTTAAAAGGAAATCCTAGATGTGTTCAAACATTACTGCCCACTTTCAGATGGATTGATATCTACCTAGGACTTCTCTATTAAACCCACCTGCCTGAGTACTGTGACTTGATTGGAGTTTTCTTGAAGTCACTCCTGAAGCACTGTGATGGCTTTGTCTAACATTAATAGATTTTTTAAAATGATATGTGTTGGGGAATGGCTATGAAAAAAGGGGAGAATCTGTTGCTACTGCAAACCAATTAAGGAGGCAACTTAAAAAGGAAATCTGAATTGTAACTATGTTTCTATTTCTGTAAAATACTGTCCTTACCTTGCAGTCTGTAGTTGATGTGCCCAGACACAGTAGTGGCTCTCGGGTTGCTCTTCTGCCATCTTCCTGTCTCCTTCAGTCCCTGCATGCGTATAGGAACTTCAGTGAGATAATGGGGCATTTAACACAGATTAATACTCTGTGCAATACTGTATTTAGTGTTTCTACTTTAAAGTTTCTAGGATGTTAATTTACATGCAAATAAAATACATGATAAGAGAGTTCTCTGCCTATTGTGTCTATATGACCTAAAAGTAAATGCAAAATATTTATCCCAGAGGGAAAATAAGTTAGAGCGTCTGTGTTCAAAGATTTTTGAAAGTTCTTATCTCAGGCCGAACCGTTGCTGGTGAACAGTGAAAGTCGCTCTGTCATGTCTGACTCTGCGAACGCATGGACTGTACAGTCCATGGAATTCTCCAGGCCAGAATACTAGAGTGGGTAGCCGTTTCCCTTCTCCAGGGGGTCTTTGCAACCCAGGGATCGAACCCAGGTCTCCTGCACTGCAGGTGGATTCCTCACCAGCTGAGCCACCAGGGAAGCCTGAACAGTTCTTGGCAGTTAAGGATTTAACAACTGCTAGAGTGTAAAGACAAAATAGTAATTCCGCTACATTAAAACACATTTTCTTAAGTGCAAATCTTCTCAATGCAGTTTTAGGGAAGAAGTATTTCCCCCTTATGGAAATATCAGTATGTTAATTCCTAAGAAGTCCTTTCTCGAAAAGTTGCAAAAATTCATATGATGTAGATTAAATGGTGATAAAAATTGAGTTGATCTCAGTGAGGCAGCAGTGAGTGGTGGCGTGAAGTGAGATCTAATTCGCTGCCCAGGAACTGAACCTGGGTAGCCTGAACGAAAACCAGGAATCCTAGCCACCAGACCAGCAAGGGCTAGAGGCTAGAAGCCAAGTTTCCCTGGATCTTTGACCAGTGAAAAATGCATTCATCATGGAGGCAGAATCGCTACATGCAGGTACAACGTTTATTATCAGAGACACAGCACAGCAACACGTGGGAAAGAACACGGAGGAACAGCTGGTCTAGTTACCACAGAAGCAAAGCAGAGACACACACCTGGAGAGAAAGGTTATGGGCGCCCCCTGGTGACAAGGAGCACAATAACCACGAGGTGGTGAAGTCCTTTATATAGGCCAGTTCTTCTGGGTCTTTGTCTTCCTTCCTGCCAAGTTTCTGGTTCCTTTCTTCACATCTGACCTATCCTGGGCCTCTGCCCTGGTGTGCACATACCCCTCAGCCAAGATGGATCTCCAAGTGGAGGCTTCTGGGAGAAGCAAGGCTCATCATGGTCTGGCACTTTCGCGGGACTTTTCACCCACAAGGAGCCTCTCTGCGCGTGTGTAGTGTTTCCCTTCTCCCACAAGGGGGGTGGGGGGAGGGGAGATCTCTTCATCCTTGACTCAAGCAGGATTTTGTCCCTCTTTGCCCTTGTCATGGCTACTAAAGTGTTCATGAGAGACAGACACTGGTTATTTACCCTCTTTCGGTTGTTACTTCCATTTCACAGGGCAAGCAGGACACTGACTGTAAAGGCTCAACTGGAGCCCAACCATCGCTTGCCTCAGGAAATGTAAACAGGCTAGATGTAAATGCCTAACCTGGAGTCCATCTGTCTCCTCCAGCAGCATTATGGGAAGACAAAAGGCGGAAAATTATGCCAATAAGGCACCACATGATGGTGCAAAAAGATGGATATAGACAAGGAAAGAAGGAATAAAAACTAAGCATTATGCTAATGGCAACCATTATGCAAGTTAATGGGGGGGGTGGGGGGGAAGCTAATGGAAAACACTTGCTTTTATGCCATAAACCATCCTTGAATTCAGGTTGAATTGGATTTTTCACGATAAACTTTTCATCACCTCTGCATTGGCTTGTCGTCTACTTTGTGCAAAAGCCTGGAGCTCCTAACTACTAGGGGGTCTCCCATCCAAGTACTAACTAACCCTGCTTAGTTTCCCCGATCAGAAGACATCTGGCCCGTTCAGGGTGGTATGATCTTAGATGGAGGCGGTTGCCGCCAGGCGCCTTTAAATACCCTGCGCTGCGCCTGCTTTTCGCTCTGATGTGCCGTGTCGAGCCAGCCGGCCGCACCTTTCCACGGGGCGCGCCGGCCAGGGCCGGCAGCCCGGCCGAAGCCTCCCAGTCCCCACACACCGGCAACCCTGGCCAGCAAACCTGGCCCGGCCCGGGGGCCCGGAGTGTTTCCGGGACCCCGAGCGGCCGGTCGGGCGTGCATGCCTGGGCTTGGGGTTGGGGTGAGGGGTGCGGAGGTCTCGGCGCCCTCCCGCCCTGGGCCTCTCCAGGCCCGCCCCCTGTCAGCGCCCCCCCCCCGCCCACTCCCGTTCGTGGCTCAGGGCCACGTGGCCCCGGAGGCGTCTGATTCGGGCCCGCCGCGGACCGCGGCCCTCGGTCCTCTGAGCCTCCCTCGGGCATAGGCGGAGCGCAGCCGGGGCCCTGAGAGCCCATCCTGCCCGGCAGCTGCCCGGGGCCCAAACCCACTGGGAGCCACCAGCGCGGTCCACCCGAGCGCCTCAGCCCTGCCCCTTCGCCCGACCGCGGCCCCCCTCCTCGCCACGCCACCCGCCAAGCACAGGACCTTCCTGAGGTCCTTAAAATTCTTCCTTCAAGAGTTCTAGGTAAATTTAAGACAGCATCTACTGGATTTTCTCCAAGGGCTAAAAAAACAAACAAACCAACAGTTACCTTGATCCATCTTGCCTTAATGTGAGCTGTAACAGTAACCTCAGAGCTGCTGCACTCAATGATTTGATTCATTCTGTTGTTGAAAAACAGGGATTCTCAATATTGTCAAAATGGCTATAGTACCCAAAGCAATCTACAGATTCAATGCAATCCCTATCAAGCTACCAACGGCAGCTTTCAGAGAACTAGAGCAAATAATTTCACAATTTGTATGGAAATGCAAAACACCTCGAATAGCCAAAGGAATCTTGAGAAAGAAGAATGGAACTGGAGGAATCAACCTGCCTGACTTCAGACTATACCACAAAGCCACAGTCATCAAGACAGTATGGTACTGGCACAAAGACAGAAATATAGATCAATGGAACAGAACAGAAAGCCCAGAGATAAATCCACGAACCTATGGTCACCTTATCTTCGACAAAGGAGGCAAGGATATACAGTGGAAAAAAAGACAACCTCTTTAACAAGCGGTGCTGGGAAAACTGGTCAGCCACCTGGAAAAGAATGAAACGAGAACACTGTCTAACACCATACACAGAAATAAACTCAAAATGGATTAAAGATCTAAACGTTAAGACCAGAAACCATAAAACTCCTAGAGGAGAACACAGGCAAAACACTCTCCGACATAAATCACAGCAGGATCCCAGAGTATTAGAAACAAAAGCGAAAATTAACAAATGGGACCTAATGAAACTTAAAAGCTTTTGCACGACAAAGAAACTATAAGCGAGGTGAAAGGACAGCCCTCAGATTGGGAGAAAATAACAGCAAACGAAGCAACACACAAAGGATTAATCTCAAAAATATACAAGCAACTCCTCCAGCTCAACTCCAGAAAATAAATGACCCAATCAAAAAATGGGCCAAAGAGCTAACCAGACATTTCTCCAAGGAAGGCATACAGATGGCTAAAAGACACATGAAAAGATGCTCAACATCACTCATTATCCGAGAAATGCAAATCAAAACCACAATGAGGTACCATTACACGCCAGGCAGGATGGCTGCTATCCAAAAAGTCTACAAGCAATAAATGCTGGAGAGGGTGTGGAGAAAAGGGAACCCTCTTACCCTGTCGGTGGGAATGCAAACTAGTACAGCCGCTATGGAAAACAGTGTGGAGATTTCTTAAAAAACTGGAAACAGAACTGCCCTATGATCCAGCAATCCCACTTCTGGGCATACACGCCGAGGAAACCAGATCTGAAAGAGACACGTGCACCCCAATGTTCATCGCAGCACCGTTTATAATAGGCAGGACATGGAAGTAACCTAGATGCCCGTCAGCAGACGAATGGATAAGGCAGCTGTGGTACATATACACCATGGAATCTTACTCAGCCATTAAAAAGAATTCATTTGAATCAGTTCTAAAGAGATGGATGAAACTGGAGCCCGTTATACAGACTGAAGTAAGCCAGAAAGATAAAGACCATTACAGGATACTAACACATATACATGGAATTGAGCAAGATGGTAACCATAACCCTATATGCAAAACAGAAAAAGACACACAGATGTATAGAACAGACTTTTGGACTCTGTGGGAGAAGGCGCGGGTGGGATGTTTCAAGAGAACAGCATCGAAACACGTATATATAACCTAGGGTGAAAGAGATCACCAGCCCAGGTTGGATGCAGGAGACAAGTGCTCGGACCTGGTGCACTGGGAAGAGCCAAAGGGATCGGGTCGAGACGGAGGTGGGAGGGGGGATCGGGATGGGGAATACATGTAAATCCATGGCTAATTCATGTCAATGTATGACAAAAAAATTTGTAAAGTCATTAGCCTCCAACTAATAAAAATAAATGAAAAAAAAAAAACAAAGCAGGGATTCATTGAGCTGCATGGGAGATGAATTCTGTCATTAGAAACTTTGCCACCAGGCTTAAGAAATATATTTAGAACTCATTTCTTTCAGGAAACAGGTTTCAAGATCTCCATAAGAAGTCTTTTATTAAGATAAATCACAGCTTTGTCAGTTTCTCCAGAAGTACCCTCTTTTTAATTCCCAAGGAGAATGGCAATAATAAAACTAAATTAACCGAGTAGGTTATTTTCTCTCTAATGGCCCCTGTCTTGATTAAGAGGATTCCGGTCGACGTATTTCCTGGGCTTCCCTGGTGGCTCAGGTGGTAAAGAATCTGTCTGCAATGCAGGAGACCTGGGTTTCATGCCTGGGTTGAGAAGATCGCCTGGAGAAGGGAATGGCCACCTCTTCCAGTATTCTTGCCTAGAGAATTCCACGGACAGAGGAACTGGGAAGGCCACAGTCCATGGAGTCACAAAGAGTCGGACACAGCTGAGCAACTAATACACATATTTTCTTACCATTTGCTTAGCAGAAGCAATCATTCATAGCATTTTATAGCACTTTCTAAAGAACATTTTGTGCCTTTTTTCTCTTTTGTAAGCTGCACCAGGTCTTGGTTGCCACACATGGGATCTTTCATTGTGGCGTGCAAACTCTTCCTTGCAGTGAATGGGATCTAGTTCACTGGCCAGAGATTGAACCCAGGCCCCTGCATTGGGAGCAGCCACTGGATCGCCAGGGAAGCCCTCTAAAGAACTCTTAAAGTGAAACTTTTTGGATGTTCGCAGCAGCTCTGGGCAGTCCTAGTGATGATACTTGTTCTGCACTCTTGAGCCCGTGACCTCCCTGAGGGACACAGGGGCCAAGCGAGCAGATGCTACCCCAGCGCCAGACCACAGGGCCAGACTGGCAGTGTAAACTCCCTTCCAGTGATGTCCTCTTTTTACTGTTCCTCTGGTCAATTCAGTACTGTTTCCTTGGAGCTTGTGTTTAAAAGGAAATCCTAGATGTGTTCAAACATTACTGCCCACTTTCAGATGGATTGATATCTACCTAGGACTTCTCTATTAAACCCACCTGCCTGAGTACTGTGACTTGATTGGAGTTTTCTTGAAGTCACTCCTGAAGCACTGTGATGGCTTTGTCTAACATTAATAGATTTTTTAAAATGATATGTGTTGGGGAATGGCTATGAAAAAAGGGGAGAATCTGTTGCTACTGCAAACCAATTAAGGAGGCAACTTAAAAAGGAAATCTGAATTGTAACTATGTTTCTATTTCTGTAAAATACTGTCCTTACCTTGCAGTCTGTAGTTGATGTGCCCAGACACAGTAGTGGCTCTCGGGTTGCTCTTCTGCCATCTTCCTGTCTCCTTCAGTCCCTGCATGCGTATAGGAACTTCAGTGAGATAATGGGGCATTTAACACAGATTAATACTCTGTGCAATACTGTATTTAGTGTTTCTACTTTAAAGTTTCTAGGATGTTAATTTACATGCAAATAAAATACATGATAAGAGAGTTCTCTGCCTATTGTGTCTATATGACCTAAAAGTAAATGCAAAATATTTATCCCAGAGGGAAAATAAGTTAGAGCGTCTGTGTTCAAAGATTTTTGAAAGTTCTTATCTCAGGCCGAACCGTTGCTGGTGAACAGTGAAAGTCGCTCTGTCATGTCTGACTCTGCGAACGCATGGACTGTACAGTCCATGGAATTCTCCAGGCCAGAATACTAGAGTGGGTAGCCGTTTCCCTTCTCCAGGGGGTCTTTGCAACCCAGGGATCGAACCCAGGTCTCCTGCACTGCAGGTGGATTCCTCACCAGCTGAGCCACCAGGGAAGCCTGAACAGTTCTTGGCAGTTAAGGATTTAACAACTGCTAGAGTGTAAAGACAAAATAGTAATTCCGCTACATTAAAACACATTTTCTTAAGTGCAAATCTTCTCAATGCAGTTTTAGGGAAGAAGTATTTCCCCCTTATGGAAATATCAGTATGTTAATTCCTAAGAAGTCCTTTCTCGAAAAGTTGCAAAAATTCATATGATGTAGATTAAATGGTGATAAAAATTGAGTTGATCTCAGTGAGGCAGCAGTGAGTGGTGGCGTGAAGTGAGATCTAATTCGCTGCCCAGGAACTGAACCTGGGTAGCCTGAACGAAAACCAGGAATCCTAGCCACCAGACCAGCAAGGGCTAGAGGCTAGAAGCCAAGTTTCCCTGGATCTTTGACCAGTGAAAAATGCATTCATCATGGAGGCAGAATCGCTACATGCAGGTACAACGTTTATTATCAGAGACACAGCACAGCAACACGTGGGAAAGAACACGGAGGAACAGCTGGTCTAGTTACCACAGAAGCAAAGCAGAGACACACACCTGGAGAGAAAGGTTATGGGCGCCCCCTGGTGACAAGGAGCACAATAACCACGAGGTGGTGAAGTCCTTTATATAGGCCAGTTCTTCTGGGTCTTTGTCTTCCTTCCTGCCAAGTTTCTGGTTCCTTTCTTCACATCTGACCTATCCTGGGCCTCTGCCCTGGTGTGCACATACCCCTCAGCCAAGATGGATCTCCAAGTGGAGGCTTCTGGGAGAAGCAAGGCTCATCATGGTCTGGCACTTTCGCGGGACTTTTCACCCACAAGGAGCCTCTCTGCGCGTGTGTAGTGTTTCCCTTCTCCCACAAGGGGGGTGGGGGGAGGGGAGATCTCTTCATCCTTGACTCAAGCAGGATTTTGTCCCTCTTTGCCCTTGTCATGGCTACTAAAGTGTTCATGAGAGACAGACACTGGTTATTTACCCTCTTTCGGTTGTTACTTCCATTTCACAGGGCAAGCAGGACACTGACTGTAAAGGCTCAACTGGAGCCCAACCATCGCTTGCCTCAGGAAATGTAAACAGGCTAGATGTAAATGCCTAACCTGGAGTCCATCTGTCTCCTCCAGC